GTATTTTTGAAAAAATTCATAAAGTTGATTTATTAAGAATTTTACAAGGTTTTTTAAAAAAATTCACAATTCCATTTCTGAAACTCAAATTGACTTCAGATTTCTTGTAATTGAAGAAAATACTTCAATTATGAATTTCTCAAAGTTTAAAGTTGCTCAGATTCCTGGAAGTATTTTTGAAAAAATTCCAAAGTTGATTTGTTAAGAATTTTACAAGGTTTTTTAAAAAAATTCACAATTCCATTTCTGAAACTCAGATTGACTTCAGATTTCTTGTATTTGAAGAAAATACTTCAATTATGAATTTCTCAAAGTTTAAAGTTGCTCAGATTCCTGGAAGTATTTTTGAAAAAATTCATAAAGTTGATTTATTAAGAATTTTACAAGGATTTTTTAAAAAATTCACAATTCCATTTCTGAAACTCAGATTGACTTCAGATTTCTTGTATTTGAAGAAAATACTTCAATTATGAATTTCTCAAAGTTTAAAGTTGCTCAGATTCCTGGAAGTAAGTATTTTTGAAAAAATTCCAAAGTTGATTTATTAAGAATTTTACAAGGTTTTTTAAAAAAATTCACAATTCCATTTCTGAAACTCAGATTAACTTCAGATTTCTTGTATTTGAAGAAAATACTTCACTTATGAATTTCTCAAAGTTTAAAGTTGCTCAGATTCCTGGAAGTAAGTATTTTTGAAAAAATTCCAAAGTTGATTTATTAAGAATTTTACAAGGTTTTTTAAAAAAATTCACAATTCCATTTCTGAAACTCAAATTGACTTCAGATTTCTTGTAATTGAAGAAAATACTTCAATTATGAATTTCTCAAAGTTTAAAGTTGCTCAGATTCCTGGAAGTATTTTTGAAAAAATTCATAAAGTTGATTTATTAAGAATTTTACAAGGTTTTTTAAAAAAATTCACAATTCCATTTCTGAAACTCAAATTGACTTCAGATTTCTTGTAATTGAAGAAAATACTTCAATTATGAATTTCTCAAAGTTTAAAGTTGCTCAGATTCCTGGAAGTATTTTTGAAAAAATTCCAAAGTTGATTTGTTAAGAATTTTACAAGGATTTTTAAAAAAATTCACAATTCCATTTCTGAAACTCAGATTGACTTCAGATTTCTTGTATTTGAAGAAAATACTTCAATTATGAATTTCTCAAAGTTTAAAGTTGCTCAGATTCCTGGAAGTATTTTTGAAAAAATTCCAAAGTTGATTTATTAAGAATTTTACAAGGTTTTTTAAAAAAATTCACAATTCCATTTCTGAAACTCAGATTGACTTCAGATTTCTTGTATTTGAAGAAAATACTTCAATTATGAATTTCTCAAAGTTTAAAGTTGCTCAGATTCCTGGAAGTATTTTTGAAAAAATTCCAAAGTTGATTTGTTAAGAATTTTACAAGGATTTTTAAAAAAATTCACAATTCCATTTCTGAAACTCAGATTGACTTCAGATTTCTTGTATTTGAAGAAAATACTTCAATTATGAATTTCTCAAAGTTTAAAGTTGCTCAGATTCCTGGAAGTATTTTTGAAAAAATTCCAAAGTTGATTTATTAAGAATTTTACAAGGTTTTTTAAAAAAATTCACAATTCCATTTCTGAAACTCAGATTGACTTCAGATTTCTTGTATTTGAAGAAAATACTTCAATTATGAATTTCTCAAAGTTTAAAGTTGCTCAGATTCCTGGAAGTAAGTATTTTTGAAAAAATTCCAAAGTTGATTTATTAAGAATTTTACAAGGTTTTTTAAAAAAATTCTCAATTCCATTTCTGAAACTCAAATTGACTTCAGATTTCTTGTAATTGAAGAAAATACTTCAATTATGAATTTCTCAAAGTTTAAAGTTGCTCAGATTCCTGGAAGTATTTTTGAAAAAATTCCAAAGTTGATTTGTTAAGAATTTTACAAGGATTTTTTAAAAAATTCACAATTCCATTTCTGAAACTCAGATTGACTTCAGATTTCTTGTATTTGAAGAAAATACTTCAATTATGAATTTCTCAAAGTTTAAAGTTGCTCAGATTCCTGGAAGTAAGTATTTTTGAAAAAATTCCAAAGTTGATTTATTAAGAATTTTACAAGGTTTTTTAAAAAAATTCACAATTCCATTTCTGAAACTCAGATTGACTTCAGATTTCTTGTATTTGAAGAAAATACTTCAATTATGAATTTCTCAAAGTTTAAAGTTGCTCAGATTCCTGGAAGTAAGTATTTTTGAAAAAATTCCAAAGTTGATTTATTAAGAATTTTACAAGGTTTTTTAAAAAAATTCACAATTCCATTTCTGAAACTCAGATTGACTTCAGATTTTTTGTATTTGAAGAAAATACTTCAATTATGAATTTCTCAAAGTTTAAAGTTGCTCAGATTCCTGGAAGTAAGTAAGTATTTTTGAAAAAATTCCAAAGTTGATTTATTAAGAATTTTACAAGGTTTTTTAAAAAAATTCACAATTCCATTTCTGATACTCAGATTGACTTCAGATTTCTTGTATTTGAAGAATATACTTCAATTATGAATTTCTCAAAGTTTAAAGTTGCTCAGATTCCTGGAAGTATTTTTGAAAAAATTCCAAAGTTGATTTGTTAAGAATTTTATAAGGTTTTTTAAAAAAATTCACAATTCCATTTCTGAAACTCAGATTTCTTGTATTTGAAGAAAATACTTCAATTATGAATTTCTCAAAGTTTAAAGTTGCTCAGATTCCTGGAAGTAAGTATTTTTGAAAAAATTCCAAAGTTGATTTATTAAGAATTTTACAAGGTTTTTTAAAAAAATTCACAATTCCATTTCTGAAACTCAAATTGACTTCAGATTTCTTGTATTTGAAGAAAATACTTCAATTATGAATTTCTCAAAGTTTAAAGTTGCTCAGATTCCTGGAAGTATTTTTGAAAAAATTCCTATGTTGATTTGTTAAGAATTTTACAAGAATTTAAAAAAAAAAAATTCATAATTCTATTTCTGAGGCTCAGATTAATTCCAGACTTGTTGTGTATGGGATCTGTTAAGGAGCGCTACTACCTAAATAAAAATTATATTCCTGTGGTTTCCATGTTTCTGTTCGAGTTCCTGTTATACCTATTATTTACAATAAGTAAGTAGTTGGCTAGAATTTATTTCAATTTATAGAGAATTTTTTTCCCTAAATTTGGGAAAATCAATAAATAAAATAATAAGATCACAAAAGCGAGAGTATCAGATTGCTACCAACTAAACCAAACCAAATTCAGTGTAATATTGACTTATTTTCTGGGCCAGAACCAACAAACTAACAACTTAATCAAAACTCTCTTGAAGATTACTAGCCTTGATAATGACATTATTATTATGCAACAACTATTTATTATTTTACACCAGCCCAAGTAGACAGGTTAACTTTTACTCGAACAACTTTGAAAGGAAAGTTTGATGCCTTACAATATAGGAAAATATTCACATTTTTAGTACTTAATAATAATTAAAATGCAACATTTGTTAACAAATTAACGGAATGTTAATTTACCTCTAATTTCAATGCACCTTGGACTTCATCAAAGGATAATCCGGATTCGTAGGCCTACTCTTCCTATTGCTAGCCCTGGCGACGTAGGCCTTGTAAAAGAACCTGGCAAACAGCACGAAATAGCTGAAGTACATGGCTATGGATAGTTTAACGTTGAACGGAGTTACATGGCATTCGACTCCTTGCTGCAACAGCTGATGAGCCCACATATTAATGGCACATCCAATAACCATTTGCAATAACTGCAAGGATGTTATCACTAGGGCAACTTGCCTAGGCGGGGCATAACCCCAGGCCCTTAAACCATAATAAGAGTACATTATTGAGTGCACACAATAGTTCATTACAATAAACCACCTTGCACTTGAAGTGTATTCAGTGTAGCTAAACCAAGAATACAATAGAACAGTAATGTGATGGTACCAGTGCAAAAATATTAGGGGTTGTTTGCGGAGCACTATAAAAACAGTATCGCCTAGTTCGGGCAGTTTGCTTAGGACAAACATCCAAGTCCAGAATCCAGAAACTTTGTCTTGCTCAATAAAGGACGGGACACAAACTGAATGGTACAAACCGTGATGGGTTAGGGTGCACAAAAATTCTGGAACGGTTCTACATGCCCCCATTATGCTGAAAGTTGCTAGTAAAGTATTCCACATGCATAGAGTGCCTCGGAGTTCAAATCTGGAACGGTTTTGCATCAAATATTGCCCGCCAAATATAAAAACCATATATGCTCCAACGTAATAAAAACCCAATGTCCAGTTGTCTTGCATCCATGTCCTGGTTTTTTGATGTATGAAATCCGATTCGAAATTGAATACGTACGAATAATTTGGTAATGTTACATGGTTGTATTCCGTCATTTTTTTTTATTATTCACTGGCACTTTCTTTTTATAACTGTAAATTTAACCCGGTAAAGGCGGCAAATGATAAACTACTACTGAACAAAATAAAATTTTATCTTTTCATGATGATTTGATGATCAACTGATTAAAAGTGATGATGGGATGGGAGAGAGTCGCACGACGCCCAAAATGTTCTGGTGCAACCGCTGCACGCGCAGGTTTTATATTTTTCCGGCCGGAATTTACTCAAGCCGACGCGAATTCTCATCAGCTATTCATTTGCGTATGCCTTAATTAACGGTTTAACTTGCACTGATAATTGAAAAAAAAAAAATAATTATAACAAATTATTTTGATGTGCGAGTTTACTAATCAAACCTAGATGGCGCCACTAAAAGTCGATAATTTTTTTACAGTTTACTGTAATTTGTTTGCAAGTTTTGGATTTAATTAGCCAAAAAAACCAAACAATTTACATTTTAAAAGCTGAAAAGCTAATTTTCTTTTAATTTTATACATTTTCCAAGCCAAAATACTTTTTAATAGATATTTTTTTATACATTGAGAATTTTGTTTGGCAACACTGTTTGCTTGCTGTCACAATTTAAATGTCAAAATAAATAAATAATAAATTAAAAAGGCAAACTAGGGGGCTAGAAAAATATATTAGCTACAAATTAATATAAATTTATAGTGCATTTAATTATTCGATAAGAAAAGATGAATAATTCCAGGTCCAATAGCAACACCAGCACGCCGCCGCCTAAATTCAACTTTAGCCAGCCGCCACCGGGATGGGGCTACGCTACTTCGCCTTCGGTAAGTATTTTATGCTTTATTTATAATTTGCCCCTTTAAATAATTATATGGAATACCTCGAGCCTTATTTAAGCCTTATAAATACATTTATTTATAGAAATAATTAAAGACCAAAATAGGGCTTCAGTTGTTAGAACTTATACATGAATTATTGTGCAGTTAGTCATTTTGATAATATCACCATATTTGGAAATAGGATTTGTAAACTGCCAGGCTAGGACTGTGACGCCAGAGTCCCACATATGTGGGGTTGTAAAATGGTTGTAAATAATTTCAAAATATGACTGCCTCAAATTAAAGTATTGTACTGAGGGCCAAATTTATAGTTGTTCTTCGAGTCTTGCTTGAATGGGTTATAATTTACTGCTGGCAGCATCAGGAGGCGAATCTTTGAAGTGAAAGAATCAGAGTTGGCAAAAATCCCAATACCGTAAAATCAGGTGACTTGAGACGATTTTGACTTTTAGCAAGCGATATTTTCGAAACTATTTAACTTAGCGATGACTTAAACACGTCAAAAGTTGAGTCTTAATCCGTAGAATCGGTTTTATAAGTTGAGTTTTATGTGAATAACAAGTTACCCAGGGTTTTTTATTTTTTTTGACTGTCTCATGTCGGACGCAAGGGTGGGTTACTTGAGATAACCATATTTTTCAAGCTTTTGCTCATATTCCAAGCTAAAAGGATCACTTGAGACAAAAAAAAAACGTTTTTTAAAAAGGCGGCTATTGACTTCTAGCGCAAGCAGGCTTGATATTGTCACACCAAGTGTTTGAAATGTGATAATGTCTCTTTAAAAAAAGCCGGACCCAATATTTCCCAGGCAAGTTATTTTTTTTTTTAATTTTTGATCACCCTGTCTGTCTTTACGACTTTACTAAAGGTTTTGAGTCGTTGCCCGTGATAAGAAAGCCCCAACGGCAAGCAACTTCTAAATTTTCCACAAAGTCAAATCAAATCAAATCAAAAAATGCTTTATTGTACAAAAAGGCCTTAAGACCCTTATTTACAAAGCTAAAATGGAAATAATACAAAAATAATACAAAAACATTATGAGGAGACACTGAAACGTTACATGTTAAAATACTAAAAACTAACAAAGACAATCAAGATAAAAACATTAAAAAACCAAAAACTGCTACTCAAAATGTCATTCACAAATCCAGTCAAGCTCTTATATATGGTACATACAAATAAAAAAATAAAAAAGCGAACAAACAAAAATAAAGATCAAAGTATTTTTCAAGTTACAGATAGACATCATAATTCATACAATCGCCAAAGCTAGAGCCTATCGCCATAAAATTCTTCCAGAGAGTAATATGCTTTTAAGAGCAGAAGCTGTTTCACCTTTCTAGCAAAAAGGATACTATTGTCTAGATATTTGATCTCAAGAGGCAGGTGGTTATACATCTTTTTCCCCTCATATATTATTGAGTTTTTTGTTAATGCACTCCTTGGGATGCACAGACTCAGATTGTTGCTGTTGAACCTAGTTGTCCTGGTGTCATTATTGTCATCTGATCCTTTATATTTTTTGTGAACCATGCCCACCGTCAGTAAAATAAAAATACAGGTCAATGTAAGAATTCCCTCCCGGATGAACAGAGGCCGGCAGTGTTCACTAGAGCCGACTCCACACAATAAACGAACAGCCCGTTTTTGTAAAACAAAAACTGAATTAACTATTTGACCACTGGCAAAACCCCAAAATTCAATGCCATATCTGAGACGTGACTCAACAAGTGCAAAGTACACACCCCTTGCAATGTCATGACCCAACTCATTACGAACCGTCCTTAACGCATAACATGCAGGAGCTAGTTTTTTTCGCAAGTCATTGATATGCTCACCAAACTTCAACTTAGAGTCTATAGCTAAGCCCAAGAACCTCGAACAATCCCTATTAGCAAGTGGCTCATCATTTAAAGTTATATTTGCCACAGAACACTTAAAGGAAAGTAAATTTGTTTTCGATATGTTGAAAGATAGTTTATTGGAGTCACACCACTGCTTTACCTTGCGAATATCTTGCCCAATCCTATCCTCCAATGTGACTTTGTCTGATCCCAGCCATAAGATGGTAGTATCATCAGCAAAAAGTGTAATTGATGCATCAATGTTGATGCAAGCTAGATCATTAATGTAAATCAAAAATAATAGGGGACCAAGCACTGATCCTTGGGACACCCCATGCTCAATGCTCCGTACCGATGATACATCGTTGTGGCCCTTAACAATCTGTTTTCTGTCTGTCAGATAAGACTGTATCCAGCTCAAAGTGTTACCCCTGAATCCATAATGAAAGAGTTTCTGGAGTAATATCTTACGGCTTACACAATCGAAGGCTTTGGAAAAATCGCAAAAGACCGCAGCCGCGATCTCCCCCTGATTCAGTCCAAGATACAGCCTCTGAAGAAAGTTGAATACTGCATCACTAGTGCTCTTCTTGTCCTGAAATCCAAACTGGTTGACATTCAGCAACCCGTGAGCCCGAAGAAAAGAGACCATCCTAGACTTAACAAGTTTTTCTATTATCTTAGAGAGTGTTGGCAGCAGAGATATAGGGCGGTAACATGATGGATCGTCCGTGCTTCCGCCTTTGAAAATTGGTTTTACCAGAGCGGTCTTCAGACTCTCGGGAAAGGTACCCATATCAAAAGATAAATTAATAAACCCAGCAAGCAACTCCAGCACACAGTCGGGCAAGTTGCTAAATATCCTTAATGACAGGTCATCTATCCCCGATGAATTTTTGTTTTTTATTTCCCTAAATATAGTTTTTATCTCACCAACATCTGTGTGGTAGAAGCCAAAAGAATTTGGAACAGAAACATTCCTTAGATAGCTCATAGGATCTATATCTGATGACAACCCAGACATTAAGTTTTTGGCCACTGAGCAATAAAAATTATTAAATGTATTAGAATCTATTTCAGTCACACAAGCAGGCTTTACATTACTGCCTCTCAAACTGTTAACAATATTCCAAATTTCTTTACTCTTACTTTTTGCATTATTAATTTTGTTAGAGTAAAACATTTTTTTAGCTCTTTGTATCACTTTCCTGTACACTCTTCTATATTCATTATAATAATTTTTCAGAAAATCTGTAGGGAAGTTTTTTTTAAGAGTGTTCAAAAATCTTAATGTTTTCATGTTTGCAGTAATGTGCTTCAAATCTGCAAGCTTATTGTTCAGACAGATTAGCCTTTCCTCAAATAAATGTAGTTCTTCATATTTCTTCCTTAGTAATGAAATTTCCTTATTAATTTCAACTTTTTCTCTTTCCAAGGTCTTAATTTTATTCTCTTTTTGCTGCTCATTATAGAAAACAGAGTCTTCAGAGTCTTGCGTTCTCCCTAAGCATTCTTTTCTACTTAACCTTGCGACTTCTTTTTCACTTTTTCTCAATTTTGATAATGATTCTGTCATTTTTTCTTGTTTGTCTAGAAGTTCTTCTTTGGTGGATTTGAGGTCCTCCTCCAGATTCATTATTTTGATCTTACACTCTTGAAGTTTCTTTTCAGATTGTTTCTCTGAAGCAAATACGTCGTCCTCAAAGTCCAAAGTTCGTCTTCTCATTCTTGATATAGTATCATCTTTACCTTCTATGATCTGGTTCAACTCATAGATTTGTCTCGCATGATCTACCTTAACATCCTCTTGATCAATTTCCAACAATCTTACAGTTTCTTGAAGTTTATTATTATACTGGTATAGTTTTTCCAGACTTTCATCGCTAGATATATTTCCTAGGCGTATCTTGCAATTTTCACAATAAAAAAATAATTTCCTTTCTACTAAAGCTAAGGTATGTGCTTCGGACGTGCTAATAGCAGCACATTTTTTACAATATACCAATTTGCAAGAGTCGCAAGTTGATCCAAAGAGTTCACTTTTATTTGGCCTATCCTTAAATACACAGTCGGCATTACATTTTGAGCATATGAGCTCTTTAAAACGATCCGCCATATTTTCGATTTTTTAGTTTTTTTTTTTTTTTTTTTTTTTATTTAATTTTTTTTTTTGTTTTTTTTACCTTTTAAACTTTTTAATTTCTTAATTTTTTTAGTTTTTATTTTTCTATTTTAAGTATTTTCTCTGTAATGACAACAAGTCCAATGTTGAAATATTGTTAGAAGATATTTAGGAAACAAAAAATAATAATAAACAAGTGTTGGTTTATTAGTCACCTGTAAGTCCTCGAACGCCAGTTCCTTATCGCAACAAAAAAATTTATAAAAAAAAATTATTTAGTTTGTCAACTATATTTATCAAACTAATTTGTTACTTTACACATAATCACTAGTTTTTTATGATAGTATTAAGACACAATCCAAAAGTACTTTTTCCGCTCTTTCTTTTAACACTAAACTTAGTAATTAACTTTTACTGTAAACAGTAGATATTTGTTGTTAAATAGGACGTACATTTATCGTCGTTGATTTAACTTATTGACCTTATTAACCTCTGCTCCTCTTCCACTGTAAAGACTATTTGACCACCGGGATTTTTTTTATTGAGATTATTCACTTTTCGTTGAATGGTGCACCTGGAAGTGCCATATTTTTTTGATAATAATCGATAGGATTTACTCGTTCTTCAATCGCTGGTTTCAACCGAGGGGTAGGTCACTCGATAAAATTTGTACAACTAATTACAAATACATTCAATTACATCTATTTTTTTGTAATTGAATGTATTTGTATGTAATTGTTTGTAATTGAACATAATCAAATGTAATTGAATATAATTGACTGTAATTGAATATAATTGATTGTAATTGAATATAATTTATTGTACTTGAAGCTAATTGAATGTAATTGGATGTAATTGAATGTAATTGAACGTAATTGGGAGGTAATTGAGGTAATTAAATGTATTTTCTAATTACATTTTACCATCTGTTTACCTAATAAGGGAGTAACTCAGGTTGTAACAGCCTAGTAGGAAAATTCTGAAATTAAAGAAGAACTATTCTTATTAATTAAACACTA